GTAAAATGTAAAATGGTCTATTGAAATTGAACGCCTCACCAGGAGTACTCAAAGAAAAGTTCGGTGGGGTGTGCGGCCCACTTCCCAAAACCCTTACCCTATTCATGACCAAAATCTGCGATCTTTGCTACCCTATTTATGACCTGGCCAAAAATTCGATACCCTATTTATGACCGTTGTGGCTGGCAGAGTTGCTTTTAAGGACGGTGCCAACTAAATACAAAGGTTTTTGCGCCGGGTTAGGACCACGCGGAAAAAGTAGATCTTTGCAAGGGCTATTGGAATCCACAAAGAAAAATTGGGGTAGCCACGCATTTTTTCCAGATAATCAGCCTTGAATCTCAAAAAAAATGCTGACATCAGCACTTTCTGAAAAAAGAAGGAAAGGATATTTCTTCACAAATTTCCTTCGAAATCTCCTTTACAAACAGAAAAGCAAACACATTTATAAAGGTCTTAAAACTACATGGTAAATGGTAACATAAAAACCATTTTTGGTTTGTTTTGAATAACAAAATCGTTGCAACAGCGCTTTTAGCGTCTCTGACAGCCTTCCTCTGGTTGAGCCAAAATACAGTCTAAATACCTTTTGGTCACAACCAGAAACTAATCACGTGTTGAATAGGCTTACCACTTCCATTTCATAACATAAAATGTGGGGGTAACCACACGTTTTTTAAAGTTATTGATCTTTGTTTTGAAAACTTTTACGGTGCCCGTTACATTTTTTCCTGTCACCTCCCCAGTAAGTAAAACATCTGCGTATTTCCCACTTGTTTTGCGCACGCACTAAGCCATCTGTAGGTACTTGTTTACAGTTGGATTTTAGTATAATTTTAGCCAGATAACAGCTAGTTTTTCAGCTGGAAGACGTTAACAGTTAGTGGTTGGTGATATGCTGCTATTTTGGTGTTCCTGGTTTGAGTACGGGCTCATTAAACTTGATTTGGTCACAGTAGGAAAATTTTGCTTTCTTCTAGTCGTGTACTTGGTAGCATATGCGTAGTTGATTGCGTCAATGTCAACCCCAGCGCGCGCGTGGCACTTAAACCATGCCCTGCGTGATGCGCAGACAATATGCGCGCTAACAAAAGTAGGCACCGTCCTTAACATAAGTTATGACGGTCTTATTGATAATGATGAAAAAGTAGCTTCTTCCAAGAAACATATCCAATTCAAGACTAGAGTGCTAAAACCATACCCTATTGAAGACCAAAATTGCCAGAATCGATACCCTATTCATGACCAAAACAGCTGAAAAACCCTACCCTTTGGGGCCGCACGTACCTACATAGCCCACATAAGGGTGTACCCCTCCCCCAGGGGTCGCGACATCTTGGCGAAAGTGGTCACAAAGAACAAGTCCGGATAAAATGTAGGTTAAAATTTGTTCGTGAGCGAATAACAATCCCGTTTTGTCGTTTTTCTTTCATCGTCAAGTATCGTCGAGGGGTTTTCTTATCATGGAAACTCACCGACGTATAGAACAAAGTGACAGATATATAAGCTGAGATATATAACCTGACAGATATATTCCCTGAGGAGATTAAGTTTAAACTTGACCTTTGAGTGGACGCGAAGTCAACTTCTTCCTTTGAGACAGAGGATGTTTTTCAAGAGGAGCTTTTCTTTACTTTGGTGAAGGTACTGGTCGTGTAAATCGCGTTGCAACACCACCAGACACCACATAAGCTCGTCATTTAAACGATTTTTCTAAGATCTTCTAATGTGAAATGTAGNTTACTTTGGTGAAGGTACTGGTCGTGTAAATCGCGTTGCAACACCACCAGACACCACATAAGCTCGTCATTTAAACGATTTTTCTAAGATCTTCTAATGTGAAATGTAGCGAACAAACTTAAGTTCCTGCGGCGATCGTGAACTCCTTTCCTTCGTCTCAACGAATTGCATTTATCCACTATTTTCCCTAAGCTTAAGAGGCGAACGGCGGAAAATTTATATCCCTTCTCGTGGCGTTCAGAAACACAGCAGCTCGTAGCCTCAGCTGAATAAAACAGACCAGATCGACTTCGAAGTAAGACTTTTCTGGGTAAGCATTGTCAAAACAAAACATCAAAGCCTCACTAGACTCGCTTTGATGCGACTCGTCCTGGGCGCCGACCGAGTTGTCCGCCATATTTGCATTCGGTGTATAGCACTTACTGTGGGGCAAAGTGCAGGCTAGGTTGCACTTCCCTGCCATCAAAAAACCTTTATTGACTAAGCTATGGTTTACACACAATATAACAAATAGAACGTGGCAGTGAATAAACCCAGAAGGTTCAGCAGGCGAAAGCCACCTTCTCACGAAAGGTAATTACAACTACATGGAGGAAAAAGATGGG